AATATTTTATTTATTTATTTGACAGAGCGAGAGAGGGAATACAAGCAGGGGGAGTGGGAGAGGGAGAAGCAGGCTTCCCACTGAGCAAGGAGCCCGATGTGGGGCTTGATTTTAGGACCCTGGGATCATGACCTGAGCCGAAGGCAGACGCTTAACGACTGAGCCACCCAGGCGCCCCTCAAATAGATATTTAAAAAATCCTCTTGTTATAAATGCTTTCCCCCCTTTTTTTATCTTAATGATTATTCACAGTTTTAGATTCAGGATTTTACATTTTTCCTTTTCCTCACATACGTGTGTTAAATGAAGTTGGAAAGACGAATGTTGTACACCCAGGGGGATTTGGGGCAACTGGGAACTTTATTACTGATGCCAAGAGGAAGGCCACTTCATTTATATTCTGCCTTAAACATATATTCTAGACCTGTACCGTCCAGTACAGTAGCCCCTTATGGCTATTGAGCACTTGAAATGTGGTAAGTCCTAGTTGAGCTGTGCTATAAATATAAAAAACACAATGGGTTTCAAAGCCCTAGTAGGGAAAAAAAATGTGATACAGCCTATTAATTTTTTTAAGAGTTTATTTATTTGAGAGAGAGAGAGAGTGAGCACAAGCAGGGGGGGAAGGGCAGAGGGAAAGGGAGAAGCAGACTCTCCGCTGAACAGGGTGTCTGATGCAGGACTCGATCCCAGGACCCTGGGATCAGGACCCCAGCCCAAGGCAGATGCCCAACTGACTGAGCCACCCCGGTGCCCCAGCCTATTAATAATTTTAATATTGATTACATTTTGAAGTAATATTTTGGATATATTCGGTTAAGTAAAATGTTAATTCAGCTGTTTTTAGTTTCCTAAACATGGTTACTAGAAAATTCAAAATTATAGATTTGTCTCACATTATATTTTTATCAGACAGGGCTGTTCTAGAAAGTATGCTGGTGTCAACAAAGATAATGATCTAACTTGAGACTTATAGCTCTTACATACCATTCACTAGAGGTAGTAATTGAACAGTTTGCCCATAGCGTCGTTGACCTGCTTTTAAAAAGAAGCCCCTGGGTTGGGAAACTCCATATTGCTGTCATCTTCGTCAAAGGCTTAGAGATAGTAAGATAAGAGTTACTTGGTGCTTTAGTTTGAAAATTGCAGTATTGCATCATTTTATGGGTTCTTGTTTTGGTGTTGAGTCAGTTCAGGACTTTTCTGAACTCTTACTGTGTACCAAATACTTTTGGTCCTTTGGATGCAAAGACAAATCTCACCCCTGACCATGAGGAACTTAGTCATCGTGTGCTATGCAAACAAGACAGGAGTGTGATTCATCATTCAGTAATAGAAGACCGCACAGTGGCTAGGGAAGTGCAGAGAAGGAAGAGCTAGGGCAGGGACAGTCATCTGGAAGGACCCCACGAGGAGGGCATGCTCTGCCTACATTCTTTTACAGAATGTCCCAGAAGCCCTTAGGCGGGGGAACGTGCAGTGGGGAGCAGTAAGGGCTTTGCTGTATAAACAGCCCGTCCTTGGGAGGCGAGGTGCAACTCTGCACTTCTCATCCCAAGAGTGTAAGCTCAGCTCGGCCAGAAAAGGAGATGTGTTCAGTTGGCCCCTGGCAGGCCCATCAGCTTATTGGTTGGGTTTTGGTGGTCTCGGGTGAAGTTGGAATACTTGACCTTCCTTGTTTTACTCAAAAGTTGAAGAAAATATGTAAATGCTCTTCAGTTTTGTCTTTTCCAGTCTTTTCTGTATGTAGATAGGAATGTGAATGAAACCAAAAGGGGGAAAAAATCGAATAATTTGCCTTTCTTTAGTGGAAACATGAGTCTGTTTGGAAAGCTACCAGAGTGTTGTGTAAGTGTTTTCAGTGGCTGAAGCAGACCGGCTCAGGTTACACTGCGTCTCCCACGTTGGGGGTGGGGGACAGCAAGTGACATAGCATACAACAGACACTTACATAACCATGACTCCAGGGGACGGGATTAAGCTGTGAATGAACCTCCCAAACTCCGGAATATGATACTAGAACACAGCCTTTGAATTTCTCTCTGAAGCTTGACTTGAAAATGAGCTTCAGAAACATCTCTCTCAAACTAGACTTTTCATTACCCTTGGAACTTCTTTAACTTCTCTTCTTTTATTAAGTTCGTGAACTTTGATCATTGTAGAATTAGAAGGGGACTCAGAAGTCTCAGAGTGCGGCTCTCTGTAGGTAAGTCACGTAACCTGTCTGGTCCCCAACAGGGCAGAGTTGAGACCTGGGTCTCTAGATGCCCCTCTACCATAGCCTGCGGCCGGCTTCCAGAGGCTCAGTGCCAAACGCCCTCTCCTGGCAGATGAACTTCATTGCAGATTCTCAGATGCTTCAACTCTCCTTTGCCTCCCAACAGAATTTCTAGAGTTGGTAAATAGTGGAGGATTTTTGTTTTGCTCATGGGGGGAAGTGGACCATGAGGGAACCAGGTGAAGGGTGGGGATGTGATTTGCCTGGGAAGATACAATGCTCTGCTGGAGGGTGCCAGGAGATGCTGAGCTTGCTAGGAGCTGATCTTATCAGACGAGCCTTCTCTCTTCACACATGGCAGAGTACTCTTACTTTGGCAAAGTTAGAGCCACAGTGGCTTTTCTTTCACTTTGGATCCTTGCCCTTTCGCTTAGGGAGTTTGGATTTGAAATCCAAAACAGTCAAACCACAAAAGAATGGAGTTGGAAATGGATCTGACTTAGTAACCTCTAGTTAGAACTGAGGATACCAAGGTCTGGGAAGGAGTTAAATGCTAATTCAAGGTCATCCAGCTGGGACAGAATCCAGGTGTTCATTTCCTAGTCTAGCCTTCTTTTCGTACCTTTTTTTTAAGCCTTAACTTTTTTAATAACAGTAAATAAAAACAGCAAAACAAAAATGAGTAAACAAAACCTTAGAGGAGTTATGAAGACCATAATTCCTTTTGTTTGAACATGATTTATACTGTGCTTATTTTTGGGAACTGCTTGTTTTGAGGAATCTCTTGTTTCTGTAAATTGCCTAAGCTTTTTTTAGGTTATGAGGGAGAAGGCGAGGTTTAGATTTTACTAAAATACTTCCTATAATAAAAACTTTACATTATGGAGTATTTCAAACGTGCACAGAAGTAGAGAGAATGCTGCCATCACCTAACTGAACAGTTCTCATTGCATCAGTCTTAGCTCACGTAAGTTTTAGTGTGCTGTATTAGACTTGTATGTTTTTTACACCTGTTTTGCCCTTGCCAGTTAAACATCTTTTTGCCTTTTTTTAAAAAAAGATTGATTTATTTATTTTAGAGAGAGTGCATGCTTGTAGGGGGTAGAGGGAGAGAGAAACCCAAGCTGATTCTATGCTGAGTGGGGAGCCCCTCGCTGGGCTTGATCTCAGGACCTGATATCACCACCCTGAGATCATGACCTGAGCAGAAACCAAGAGTTGGACACTCAACTGACTGCACCACCCAGGAAAGTATAGGACTTTTAAGAAAATATAATACTTTTATTTCTTATTCATATAGTTATGCTTTTTGTGGTATGAAGTATTTCCATCTCAAGTACTTATCTTAAAAACTTCTTTAGTTGACTTAGTAGAGATTATAAAACTCTAAGCATACTTTTTAATTTTTATTTTATTATTTTTTAAATATTTTATTTATTTGACAGAGACAGAGCGAGAGAGGGAACATAAGCAGGGGGAGTGGGAGAAGGAGAAGCAGGCTTCCTGCTAGCAGGGAGCACGATGTGGGACTCGATCCCAGGACCCCAGGATCATGACCTGAGCCGAAGGCAACCGCTTAACGACTGAGCCACCCAGGAGCCCCATTTTACTGTGTCTTAAAAAATCATTTTTTTTTTCCTGCTCAAGAAATGATATCTATTCATTAAATCAAATTTAACAAACTCAAGAAAACAGAGATCTAAAAACTACCACTAATCCTATCACCTGGAGGGGCACCTGGGTGGCTCAGTCGTTAAGCGTCTGCCTTCGGCTCAGGTCATGATCCCAGGGTCCTGGGATCGAGCCCCGCATCGGGCTCCCTGCTCAGCGGGAAGCCTGCTTCTCTCTCTCCCACTCCCCCTGCTTGTGTTCCCTCTCTTGCTGTGTCTCTCTGTCAAATAAATAAATAAAATCTTTAAAAAAAAAAAAAAATCCTATCACCTGGAGATAATTATTAATAATCCTTTGTTACATTTCCTTCCAATTCAAGCATTTTAACTGCTTAGAAATAATAGTAAATTTTAACTAATTCTTATTCTGTGCTGGCTTGTGAACTCCAAAACTCCTAAGAGGGGGAAGCTGTAACGGTTACCAATAGTCTGGAAATTTTGCCCTTTCTTAGCAAGAATACACTATTGCAGAGCTGTGGTGAGGCTTTATGCTTTTGGCATTTTCAAAATTAACTTCTAGGTTACACATCTTAATCCTCACTCCTCTTAGTAAATAGAGTAAATATTGGGACTGGCGAAGTTAGATTGTCAAGGCAGAGGTAACATTTTAAGTTTATGATTTGCTTCCTACTCAGTTTTCAGAATTTTTAAATACTGCTTAATTTTTCAGGAGAGAATACTAAAAAAAATTGTTTGAAACTGAGCCAGAATGAAAACTTGCCAGCTTGAAATACATAAAAATATGTTTCTGGTGGTGAGGTGAGGACTTCGGTGGATGTGCTTTTCTCTGCTTACCTGCATTGCTTATTCTGGTCAGCAGTGGAGAAAGATGTGGCTCGTCTTAGATGGGAGACCCTTTGCGAGAAGGTGCATTTCTTGAGTCATCACCTCCAGATTCAGAGATATAGAACCTTCTGGGTTTTGTTGTTGTTGTATTTAAGTAAGCTCCATGCCCATCATGGAGCCCAATGTGAGCCCAAGGCTTAAACTCATGACCCTGAGTTCAAGACCTGAGCTCAGATCAAGTCAGATGCTTAACCGACGGAGCCACCCAGGCATCCCTGGTTTTTCTTTAAAGTGGTGAGGTTGCGTCCTAGAGGCCGACCCACATCAGAATTCTTCTTTGTGATGTCATCATCATGACCTCATAGGCAGGGTTGCTCAAATTGTTTGTGCAACTTTTGGCAGATATGAGCTGAGGCCTGGCCTGATTCTACAGACACCATGAGGTACCAGTTTGTCTCATTGGTAGATTGCGTTGACTTTCGTGCAACTTCTGTAGATTAAAAAAAAATACAGACATTAATGTTAGGCTCTCTATATTTTACTGAAGATTGTATAATGGTAAGAAAATCATTGTTTTAAAATATCCTCTGGCAGGAAATTTAAAAAACAGAAAACTAAATAGTAGAGTGGTATTTTACTGTGTGAATGGGTATGTGGTTAATCATTGGCTTTGTTTGCTATGTAATTGGCTATCAATTTTCTTGTTTCCTGCAAATCTAACATTTTTGTTCTTTGAAAGAATATCTTCACCATCAGGGCAGCTAACAGTTTGAAATGATCAGACATGGTTATCAGAATTAGTATAAATTATTTATGACCCAGAGGCCTAAATGCAGATGCATCACAGTTCAGAAGTTATCATTTGTTTTTGAATATATTGCTTTGCTCTTTGTACCTGTTTTAGCTGGAGTTGGAAGAAAAAGTGTTGGTTCACACAAAGGTCCAGAAGTCTAGTCTTTCATGGTTAATACATATAATTTCCTCAAGGATTGTCCTCCCATATTTTTTTAATTTTTATTTTCAAAGATTCTATTTACCCATTTATATGAGAGAGAGAGGAGAGGGAGAAACAGACTCTGTGCTGAGTGCAGAGCCTGACCTGGGCTCGATCCCACAACACTGAGATCACGGCCTAGCTGATATCAAGAGTCGGAGGCCCGCAGGTGCCCCTATTTTTATTTTTTTAAAGATTTATTTATGAGAGAGCATGGTGGGGAGGAGCAGAGGCAGGAGGAGAGGGTCCCAGGCAGACTCTGTGCTGAGCACAGAACCCAACGTGGAGCTTGACCCCACCACCCCGAGATCATGACCCAAGCCAAAACCAAGAGTTGGACGCTCAGCTGGCTGTGCCACCCAGGTGCCCCAAGGATTGTCTTTCTTTAAACAAAAACTTCAAAAACCCTGTGTCCTTATATACTGGGTGCAAGCACTTGATTAATTATCCCCTCCCATCTTTTATTTAAGTAGATATATTGGTCTCTTCTAAATTTGACTTTGTGAGTTTAAGTTGAGAGATTATTAGGTGGCCAAAAAATTTTCTTTTTTGTTTTGTTACTGCTTTTCCCTCACAAAGCATGTCAGTATTAGAGAGATTCAACATCTCATTTTTTGAAGTAGACTTCTCTTTTTAAAATGTTGTCCCAAGTGTTTCCCTCTGTAACAGCCACATGTCCCTATTTTCTTAAACATGTAAGACCTAGAATCTTAAAACATTCACTTTCTCTGAGACTACAAGCCCTTCATGGGTCCACTAGGTATATTCCCTTTCAGATGTGTGTCTCTAACTGGGATGTCTTTAAGACAGCTTAGAAATGAGCTGTCCTTTACACATAAGTTGTAGAAATTTAAATTTGAATATGCAAATTTGAAGTGAATTTTAGCTACGGGGACTAACTGCTTTAGATCAGTTTTCATGGTTACAAACATTTCTACATTTTGGCATATATTCTTATGCAGGGAGAATAGAAGAATCTTTGGTTTTTGAATTCCCATTCCCTTTGCAAGATCTCTTTCATGGAAGGGTTATCCAGATGGGGTCTGAATAGTAGCGGATCATAGCAGAGGGTAAGTCATCCGAGAGGCATCTTAAAATGACAGTTTGGTAGTTTGCTGGGGCAGCTGAAATAGCGCTTGCTCATTGTGCTCTGCATAGTGTTAGGTGGCTCTGGCTTCGTTTCCAGCCTTGGGATTCATTACTAAAGTCACGTTTTTATTTTTATTTTTCCTTCCTCCCAGTAGTACTTCCTTGGTAGTAATCCATTGGTTTTTTTCCCTAAAGGCAAAATTTTTTTCTTATCTGGATGTTTTCAATATTCTTTATGAAGCATAGATTGTTTATTAAAAGGAGTAACTGCAGTAAGCTAATGTTCTCTGTTTTGAGAAGGGTGTAGTCTTGAACTGTATCCCCAACCCCTGAAAATCTGTTTAGAACAGAAGGCTGATATCTATGTAATTTCCTGTTAAAATGCTGTGTAGTGAGAGAAGTTTTATCTGAAAGTGGGGTGCTTGAATTCTTAGAAATACTAGCTAAGC